AAGGTACTTTTTAATACTTTTAACTAAAGTTTGTAAATAATTTCGCAATTCGCTTTCATCGAGCGCGACGATTTTTATAATAAACGAATGCGAACACATTGTTTCCTTCTCGTCAAAAAGGCTCGAATCCATCCCACTATACAGCGGGACGAAAATTAAATTCAGCTAATTAGGACATCGTGATCAACTAAATCGAAACCTTTGCTAAAGTCAGCGAAAAATACGCAAGCCGAGGAACCACCTCGGTCAAGGGTCTCCAGGGCATTATGTAGTAACAAGACTAATGGTTGTGTTGTAGAACGGCCTTTCATCGCGAACTGATATGGGTCAATCTGGTCGCCAATATCGGCCAGTAAGGGTTCCAAAGTAAAGCCTTCCATTACTTTGGCTATCTGAGGTGTCAGAGATATTGGACGAAGGTCGTCCTCAATTTTCTTGGGCGGCATACACTTAGGTATTGGGGAGACAATTGATGACTTTAGTAATTCAGGGATGATTCCTTGTCTCAAAGTACTGTTATAGCCTAAATGTCAGACACCACTGGGAATAATTCGAAAGCATAGCCTCGAAGGTTAGAAAATAGGGTTAGAAAATATCTCCTGTTCCTTGCTATTACGTTCCAGATTCGAATGGGAGAAGTCGCGTTTGATTCCTTTAATACATCGGCCGCGGCGGAGCAGGAATGGACATGGACACATGGGACAACAATTTTAGGTTTTTGAGGCACACGATCAGCGATTACCTTCCATTATTAATTACCGTTTGTGCTTATTTACGAGACGCACTGAGGTTATTAAGCATGCCTTCTCCTCTTAAAGTATTCTAACTTTTGTATTTAAATCAGACGCAATATACTGTAGACCGAGTTGTTCATGCGTTCAAGGTATTCAGCGTTTTCTTTCTTAAGATTAGCATTTTCAGAACGGACAAGTTCATATTCTTTCCTAAGTGAGTGTAGTTCTAAATATGCAGTGTCACTCGATGATTACATGGGGGGTTTGGCATATAGATTCAAGGTTAGATATAGCAGTTTTATTTTGTTCCGTAGTAACTATAAGCTGTTGTATTTGAAACTTAAAATCATTAATCGCTTTAATAAATTTGTCCTTATTATGCAAATTTGAAGATTCAAACCTGTTGCACGTTTCTCCTTTCTTGGGACTTGAATTTGATGTAAGTGTTGCCTGTTTTCCGCTTAGTTTCTTGCAAATTACATATAATGATGAAATGTTTGCCCAAGGACAGTAAAGTAAATTATTGAAAACTTGCTTTTACTCAATTTAATGTATTTCGTGTATATCTTTGTATTTTTGCTCAAAAGTAATTCACCTCATATTTATATTGTTTATTACATTTACAGAGTTTATTTTATCATGAAATGGACTAATGAGCATGATGTCGAATTTTGCAAAGAGGTTGTTGCTTCCAAGCTTTTCGAAACAAAAAAAAGGTCAGCAGAAAGAGCTCAGGAATGGAAACTAATGCAAACAAATTGGAAAAAAGGAATATCCTAAATTCAAGGTGGAGCAACGTTCTGTCAGAGACAGATTGAAAAAACTAAATCAAACAGTTTCGGAAAAAGGAAAGCGATAAAAGACGAGCCAGTGGAATTTCATCTGAATTAACAGAATTGGACACACTGCTGGAGGAGATAAGTGAAAAAGAAGAAGCATCTGGAACCCTGGCTGCAGATATGGGAGAAAGGGAAAAGAGACCTTTGGATGAAGATCAGATGGTGGGACAAGAGAGTGAAAAAGGGCCATGGAAACTTTATCCGAGACCCAGAAGAGGAACACAAAAATAGATCAAGATGGTCTCAAACGCAAAGTCAGAAAGGGTGGTCATACAGCCCTGGCATTTTTGGCAGAAAAGGCAGAAAAAGAAACAAAACTGACGCAAAATGGCAACAGATTAGAGAGGGAGCGCCAGGAAATGGAAAAGGAAACTAGGGGTCCAAGGATAGTGTGAAGTTTCAAATCGAAGAAGACACTGCAAGAACTATATAGGATCGACGACACTTACACTACGAAATACACAGTTACCAAAGGCATTTCGTCTGATTATCTATTGTTTTTAATACGTTCGGAACATGAGTATCGCGACGTTTGAAACACGCCTGATACATCAGAAACGTCGTGCCTCGTGGAATTGATACAATTTATTTATTTATTGTGATGCTAGACGCGACAACTCGAAATTTAAATTGTTTCACCAACAACCAAATTTTACATACTCTAAAACTTCATTTGCATTTGCAAAAGCATCCTCCACGAGGCTACTGACACGCTAAACTTATTTAAAACTATGATTATTCGGCATCATCTTTTTAGTACCCATATTGCACATTTGACTATTATCTCAGTGACAACTTTAATTGAAATAGCTGTATAAGATATGTTATGAATAATAAGCACTACGACGTTACATCATTAAACGGACTAATTTTATCCCCATCCGTTCCGTATTTTATCTCAATAGCCGTTCCGTTGATCCGCTCCATCCGCTTCCGTTGATCCGCTTCCGTGACATGTTTCACAACAACAAGTCTCATTGACCTTTGACTTTATATTCCCAGTGTCACTTTGTGTCATTTTCAGCCTTTCGCATATATTCAATAATGTCACTTTAGATTTCAATAGTTTCACAGTTATAGCAGTGTTTAATTAAAGCAGTTTTGATACACGCGTTCGATACAGCTCTGTGTACAAATTTATTCTCGTAAGATCTGGTAGAGTTTATATCGTTGCACTGAATGAACACGAGTTTGCACCGTTGTGCTACTGAGACAGTAAACAAGCCAACAAGGTCCGTGACGGTACGCGTTGGCAACCTCCTTGCTTTTTTCTTCTATTGCACAAACCTTGTCGGCGAGCCAAGCGATTGGCGATAACACGTTGGCTATCTCCTTGTCTTTTTTATTTAAATAAAGAGCTCGGACTCAACTGATTCTTTAGTCTCGCAAGTTATTTTCTTCGTATAAACACCCGTACAAACACCCGCTTCTGTTTAATAGTTGTTTACGCTTTAATCCTTTATTGATCTGATGCAATTTTTCGCCCTTTGTTTTGAGTGTATCCATCTATTCTGTGTAGCACCTGATACAGTCAATGTATATAATGAATATTCGCGTACGGTCTGAATAATATCGACAGGCACTTAATTGAATGCTGGTAATGTACCAATGCATAACATCAACTCAGTAGAGGGCACTCAGAGACTGCATATACCTCCGCCCGTTACTCGGAAGTGAAACGCAACCTTGGAATTTCCTAAGAAATCCACTTTATAATTCTTAAGCATAAAAGATTTCAGGCCCCCGCGAATTGAAATCGAATTGCTAATAGAACATATTACTGTTGTTGTACTG